ACAGGACACAACACCAGCCTTTGAAGAAAGTAAGTAGAAAAGCAAGAATTGGTGGGGGAAAAAACCAACTTCTGATGCCATCAAGCTCATTTCAAGCTGATGCGACCCTGCACGTGTCAGCAGAGCTGGGAGCCACGGGGTTTGCGAAGGCTGACTCACGGAGGTGGTTTGGCAAGGCTTTCTTCCAACGCACCTCTGGGTGGACTCAAAGCTTCTACTACCTGCCCCACCTGGGGACTCAAGATCGCATTAAAGTAAAAGGCACCCAAAGGCAGAAGATGTTTATCATTAAACATCCAGGGAGCTCTGGTGGCGGCTGCTTCTTGTTGTTAGGTGCTGTCACGTATGACTCATGGCAACCCATGAACAGATCTGAACCCAGTCCTGGCCTGCGCCATCCTCACGCCATCATATCAACCCAACTAGTCAGAGGTCTTCCTCTCCTTTGCCAACCCTCCACCCTTCCCAACATCATGTCCCTCTCCAAGGACTAGACCCTCCTAGCAACAAGTCCAAAGTTTGTGAGGTGAAACCTCATCATCCTTGCTGCCAAAGAGCACTCCGGCTGCACCCTTTCCAAGACATATCTGTCTGTTCTCTTGGCCATCCATGGGTTCAGAGGTCTTCTCCAAAACCAGAGTTCAAAGGCGTCAAACCTTCCAGTTCCTTACTCACTGCGCAGCTCTCAGATGCACAGCTAGTGATCAGAAAGACCTTGACCTGAATTAGACACACCTTAGTCCTCAAGCTGATAAGATTACTCCTCAATAATGTGGAGAGGTCCCTAACTGCAGACTTTCTCAGTGCAGTGCAGTTCCTTATTTCCTGACTACTGGTTCCAAGGGTGTTAATTGTGGATCCAAGTAAAATGAAACTGACCGTTTCAATCTCCTCTCCATCTACCATGATGTGGTCTATCGGTTCAGTGGTTAAGAATCTTTGTTTCTTGACATCGAGATGTAATCCATATTGAAGGCTGCATTTCCTGATCTTCTCCAACAAGTCCTCTTCACTTTGGGCAAGCAAGGTTGTGTCATCTGCATAATGCAGGTTACTGATGAGTCAACAGCCTCCTCAATCTGTATGTGCAGAGCCGTTCTGGGGGCTTAGTGATAAATTCTTCTGTCCAATCTAAGGTCTGAGGTTCAAATTCACCAGCAGCTTAGCAGGAGAAAGATGAGTAAAGTCCTCCTGTGTCATTTACTGCCTCTGAAAATCTGCAAGAGGGTCTGGCAGGAGTTGGTTCTAACAATAACATACCAGAATATAGAAAAATGCCCAAAAGTAGTATCCGAATACATTAAAAAACAAACAAACAAAAACCACACAACCACCCACAGGCTAACTGGAAACCAAAGACAAATAGACAACTCAACAAAAATAGCAGGCACTTCACAGGAGAGTCTGTTTGGTGCCAGCTCTCCAGAAACACAAGCTAATGCGGACCTCCAGGACAACCCACTCTCCTGCATACCCGGTGCTGGTAAGGATGGGGGGTGCTGCATACCTGGTGCTGGCAAGGATGGGGGGACTGCATACCTGGTGCTGGTGAGCATGGGGGGGGGACTGCATACCCAGTGCTGGTGAGCATGGGGGGCCATGCATACCCGGTGCTGGTAAGGATGGGGAGGTTTTCACCCTGACAATGGAGGAATGCATGAGGCCACTTGGGAAACCACGGTGGTGTCCTACAGAGTTAACTACACATCACACGGCCAGCAAACCCACTTCTGGGAATCTGCCCAAGAGGACATCTACATAGAGACCAGACACCAACTTCAGGACACTCTGCTCAGCATTGCCCCAAAGCAGACAGAACACACATCAGTGGTGGCTGGTGGGCAGAGGTCAAGCAGTGCAGTCAGCCCACCACACCTGGTGACCTCACACACAGGAGCATGAACTGTGCCTGGCTCTGCCCCGCCCCTGTGACCCACAAGGTGGTCAGAAGTTGAGAGCCAGGCCTTGCTTCCTAGCTCACCTTAGCCTGAAATCTCTGTGGACGCCTGGTCAGCGCTGTAGCAGATGCGAGCCTCTAGTTACAGACAGGCAGGTGGGACGTGAACCTGGGTCTGCTGCAGTGCTGAGGGGAAGACAGGGCTTGTGTGAAGGGTGTATCGGCGTCACGAGCCGTCACAGCACCTCGATGAAATGAGCCCCACACCTGTTTTGTTTCCAGCACATGTGACGGTTCTGTGACACCCACGTGAATGGTCCACTGTAGGGTCATTGCTAGAACGACCCCAGAGATAGACACGAGGGAGCACATGCTGCTGGAAGGTACTGGCAGACTGTCTCGGCACAGGGTCGCCAAAGCCTGCAATCTGTGAAACGCACTCTACCAAGTGCAAAAGAGGGGCTCCTGCCACACAGACTCACAACAGGGAGGGGACTGCACGTGGCAACAAGGTGAGGTGTGAGGCCCAGGGCGTGTGGGCCCGGAGGCTGGAGAGAGCCCTCTGGGGTGTGGAGTCTCCTGGGGGCCACAGGAGGATGTAGCTCACACAAAATTACACTCTTGGACACATTTCACCCAGAAAACAAACTCAGCCTGTGGACTCAATTCCAACTCAGAGGCTTCCTTCCAGTCTCTAAAGAAGGGACTCCCCATGCTTTTCTGTGGGGCACTGGTGGACCTGACACACTACACACTGCACCACAGGGAGGGGTCGGGCATCTCTGACCACACAGCTAGCCCAGCAGCCGTCCTCCCAGAAGCCCTCACTCTCCATGGGGAGCACACGCCAAGTTCTTGCCTCTCCCCAGCCCCCAGCATGCTCCAGGCACACATTAGTTGCTCAGTGAACATGTAAAAGCAATGAAGGAAGGAAGGAATGCATCCGCCTTCTCCATCCAGACTATGAGACCCTCAGGGCTGGGGTTACATCAGTGTCAGTGTTGCTCAGGCTCCAGGCCAAGCCCCAAGCACCCAGCAGCATCACAAAGAGTCCACAGAAAACAAGCACTACACAAGAGGTATAGGGGGCATCAGTGGCTGTGACTGAGTCAAGGTGGAGGACATCAGGAGTGGAGCACACTGGCTACCTTTCAACCTCAAGGGCAAGGTCATCAGCTGATTACAAAGGAAAAAGGACACAGAAAGAAACTACAGCCTGTACAAGTCGCTGTCGGTACCTCAGTTCTCATTCTCTCAGGGTGGATTCCAAGCAGTGGAGTAGCTGGGTCATATAGAATTTCTATGTTCAGCTTTCTGAAAAAAACACCAAACTGCCTTCCAAAGTGGTTGTACCATTTTACAATCCCACCAACGGTGTAGAAGAGTTCCTATCTCACCACTTCCTCTCCAATAGTTATTACTTGCTTTCGGGTTAAACTTTGCCACTGCTACTGGTACGAGATGGTATCTTATTGTGGTTTTGATTTGCATCTCTCATATTGCCAGTGATTCTGATCATTTCTTCACGTGTCTGTTGGCCATCTAAAGAGCTTCTTCTGTGAAAACTCTTTCCATGTCTTTTGCCCATTTTGTAATTGTGTTATCAGTCTTTTTCTTGTGGAGGCCCTGTAGGACTCCAGTTGGAAATTTAGCAGTGTTATTCACCATCACAAGAACATGGAAACAGCCCAAATCTTCAACCACAATCAAATGGACTGAGAAACTATGGTATACTGTTTGAATATGATGGAATACTATGCAGCATGGGGGAGCAAAGATTTTGTAAATCATTACTAACTTGGGAGGACTGGAGAGCATTATGCTGAGTGAACTAACTCAGTCCCACAAGGACAAACACTATATAAGACCATTACTGCTGAATGAGTGTGCAGATCCAAGCGGGGGGCGCGTAGGGGTGGGGAAGAAAGAAATGGGAAAGATTCAATGAGAAAAATAATAACATACGAACTCTGTAACTAAACCAGCATGAAATAACAAGAAATACAGCTTGGAGCAAGCGTGGGGTATAGAGTTTGGAGGAACCCTAAAAACACAACTTTCAATGAATGAGTGGAAGCCCAAAATCTCTGTAAATGTTTATGAAAATTAATAAAATATAATTATAGAAAAAAAAAACACAACTTTCCTGGAGTGGTCAGCCAGTTTCCAGGGACCATGTACCAAATGCCAGAGCCAATGGATACCCACAAACATACCAACAACAGTCCCCAGCATTCCACAACTTCCTGACTAGCACTCCCCCCATGCCCTGAAAGAGCCAATCATTAAAACCAGGGCAAGTGAAAGCCACTAACAAGACTGGACTATATAGCACATCCTGTGCGGCCTCCTGGGACAGACAGCGGGGAAGCCAGGGGGAGCCCGGCAGTTACGGACCACACGGCTGGTCCCTCACTGTGACAGGAGGGCCGCGGGGCCTCTGCCAGGGAGTCAAGCATCGCTCAGCATGGCCAGTGCATGCAGGGAAGCGCTGTCCACAGACTTTTCACACAGATCACCATCTGAGGCACCTCTGGTTGCATCTCAATCACAGACCCAGAAGTCCCTCGTCAAGCGCTCTATCCACGGCTGTGCACCAGGCGGACCCTTGCTCGTGTGGACCCCAGAGCGCTATTCAGAGCTAACCGAGAGCACTTCCAAAGAGGGGAAATCTTTACAGATGCACAGCTCATCCTACCCCCACGGTGCAGGTAGTGGACTTGAAACCAAGACCTTTTGGTGAACAGACCAGCACTTAAACCAAAGTGCCATAAAGGCTCCTAAACGTTCACATCAGGAGTGGCTGTATGTGAGCACTCTCTCAGTATCACTCTATCATCTAACTATCCCCCAAACCCTCTCAATCTAGAATCTAGTGCATAAAACAAGAGACGGTGGGAAGCAGTCACTGTCCACACACTGCTGGCCAACACGGCCCGCCATGCGGACACACTAGCCCGTCGGCATGCTCACTGCCACTGGCACGGTGCACCCCAACATACACATCCCCAGATTTTCACCGGGTCCCACGCTCCCGCAGAACCCACATCCACACCCCCCAGACTCCCAACTCCGGCCCCATGCTCCCGCCTGGGGCACTTACTTTGGGCGGGTCGAAGAGCTCCAATATGCGGTCGTCTGGACTGCACGCGCCCCGCAGGGCCAGGCGCCCACGCTGCCAGCGCGCCCCACTGTCCATGGAGGCCTCGTCCGCCAGGCTGTAGCGCAGCGTCGTCTCCTTGACCGCCTCTGGTGGCGGCTCCCGGGAGAGGCTCCAGGGCAGGAGCTTCCGGGCCGGGCCAGGCCTGGCCGGGGCACCTCCAGCCTCGCCAGCAGCACAGGCCCCAGCACCTCCAGGGGCCCCCGCCGCCGGGCGCCGAAAGATGTGACGCAGGCTGCGGCGCAGGTGCTGGAGCGCGCAGGGCCCGGGCGAGGCCAGCTCCTCCGAGCTGCGCGCCTTGGGCAGCGCAGGCGCACGCGCGGGCCTGGGGGAGCCCTCGGCTTTGGTGGGGGCCCCGCGGCCGGTCTCGCGGTAGTCCCGCGCAGGGGGCCCGGACGCACGGCCCTCGCGCACCTCGCGGCAGAAGTAGCGCTGGAAGAGGTCGGTGAACTGCAGCGAGACGAGCTCGGCACGCAGCGGCGCCAGGTGCGGGTGGTCGCGGGCGAAGAGCCAGTACTGGCGGGCCAGCTCCCGGGCGGCGGCCACCGCGTGCAGCTCACAGAACTCGCTCCAGCCCCGGGCTGCGGGGGCCGCGGGGGCCGGGGGCGCAGCCGGGACGGCGGAGGACGAGGCGGGCTGGAGGGAGGGTCCATTCATGGCGGAGACCGAAGGGGCGCAGCCAGGCTGAAATACACAACGGGGTGAGAGTGAGCAGACGCGGAAACCAGCAGAGCCCGAAACCTGACAGCAGCCAGTGCTGGAGAGATGCTGGGAAACAGTGTCCCCCGACAGGGACGATCTACTCCACTGCACTACCAGGCTGCCGCGGTGGCCAGTGCTGCCAACCCCAAGGCAGGCCGCTGAGTCCACCAACCTGGGCGAGAAACAAGGGCTTCCTTGTGCCTCTGAAAACCTGCTGCAGAGTCCGCTTCGGGTCTGTTACAGCTCAAGGTACACAGAAACCAGAGCGTGGACCCGGGGCTCCGGCAGATGTCTGGGAAGGCCTTGCACCGCCAGCCCCATCACCTGATTTGTGGAGGATGTCTGGCTTCTGCAGGTCACAGCTGGAGGGTCAGCTCCGTGGTGGGCACACCCAAAGTCCCCGCCCTTCAAAGCCACAGGGGAAAGATGGGCAACTCGGTGCTTATCTTCAGAACAGCATTTCTGAGGACGCGCCTCAGAGCAGCCTTCCGAGGGCTAATCACAGAAAAGTTGGACAGCACCCAGTGGCCAGGGGGAGGCCAGTGAACTCTCGCAGCCACTCATGGGAATCCTCTCTAACAGGTGGGAAGGAGGCGGAGGGTCCACCCCCCCACCCCCAACAGATCACCGAGACATGGGATGAAGTGAAATGCACACACAGAACAGTGCATACCTATTTACATATGTGCCCACAAAATTAAACTGCCAATTTTTATGTGTATCGTAAATGTCTATTTTTTTTTTTTTGAAGCACGACCATTTCTTTATAAGTGTCCCAGAGGCAGAACTGGCCTTAGTGGACCCTTCCTCTGCAGAGCAGCTGTGGGATTCATACCACAGGCCTCAGAGCTGGCAGCAACACGCCTCACCACAGGGCCACCAGGGCTCCCTATAAATGTGCATAAGTATATAAAATGAGGAGGAGGGAGGTTGTGGCTGGCAGAAACCCATCCAGAAACAACAGGAACCTTAGGAGAGAAACCAAAGTTGGGGTGCAGGGCAAGGTAATAACCAAACGGGGGGGGGTAATTAATTGTCCCTGGGAAATACGGTTAAGAATGGGGATTGTGAGTCTGGGCTCAAACCCCAGCACCACTGCCTCAGACAGTGTAATTCTGAACAAGTTACTTCATTCTTTTTGCCTGAGTTTCTCCACTTGTCAAGTGGAGACCATATCCTATTACCTCCAAGTGCTTGGAGGAGTAATGGCATCTATATGTAGCAACCTTTCTCCATCAAATCGATTCCAACTCATAGTGACTGCCCCCTCCTCAGGACAGAGCAGAACTGCCTACAGGGTTCCAAGGTAACCATCTTCACAGAAGCAAGCAGCCACCTCTCAGTCAGCAGCTGTACCCTCCAGGCTCTGAACCTAGGAAGGGTGTCCCAGCATCTAGCCGTAGGTCATGAAGTGTCCCTGGGGGTAGTACAGTGGCTAAGCTGCCAACCAAGAGGTTGGAGGTTCAAAACCACCCAGTGGTGCTTCAGAAAAAAGGCCTAGTGATCTGTTGCCTCTGGGGGAGCTTGGAACACAGCCCTGCTTAGACACTCAGCCTGTGCGTGCCACCAGTGCTGAGAAAAAGAACTAAAAGGAATCTATTCATGGGCTCCTAAGAGACTCAGTCACAGAAACCTCAGGACGGGTGGAGACCTCGCCAGCCCACCAAACTGGGCTCCCGTCGCCACCCACCTCCTAGAGGGCACAAAGGCACTGAGACCCCCACCTCCCACAGGACATGCTCAGAACGGCACTGAGACCCTCCAAGCTTCTGTCTGCACTGCTGGAGGTCCTGGTCACCCTGGTCCCCTTCCCTGCTGAGCCTGAGGCCTTTGAATTGGTGCACTGGCTAAATACAGTGAATGCGCATAGGCAGGCAGGAAGGTGAGTGCATGTGCTTTGAAGAAGCAGTCAGAGGATCCTCAGTGGTGAGTGTGGGAAGACTGTCCCCTGCAGTGGAGATGCTGTCAGGAGGGGCCTGCCCCTGGCGCCCACCATGCTTGGCAGAGGGGCAGGGTAAGGAAGACCCTCCACAAGGTCGCCTGACGCAGTGGCTGCCACAACAGGGTCTGGCACAGCGGAGGCTCGAGGATGCAGGCAGGCCTGGGTGATGCTCTGCTGTGTGCACTGGGCTCTGGAGCAAGAACTAGCTCACAAGCCCTCATCACAACAGCCACGCCAGGGGACCCATCCTGCCTCCCAGGAGGAGCTGCCATCCAGCTGGGCTCACAGAGACCCCATGGGCAGCCTCCCTTCCAGCAGGGGACAGCAGTTAAGAGCAAGGAGCACAGAGCTAGACTGGGTCCACGCAGTCCTTCTTCTGTCTCCCCTAAGTGTTACTGCAAGCCCTCTGGGTACCAGGGTGTCTCGACACAAAAGTGGCAACTACCAGCCCACAAAGAGCCTGATGAAGTGCCCAGCTGCTGAGCTAACTCTCCGACACAGTGAAAGGGCAGAGCGCTGTGTCCACATCCCAGAACATTCACAGGATGGGGTGCAGCAGCTCCCCTGTGTCCACACGGGAGACCAGTTTGATTCTCGGTCAGGCCGCCTCAGGGGCAGCAGGCACCTGGGCGTCCAGTCTTGGTGGAGCTGACAGACTAAGATGGATTAGACAGAATGGCCTGGTTTGAAAAAACCCAAAAACAGATCAATAAAAAGCACTTTCGTTCCCAGAGGTGTGCGGTTCAAATCCACCAGATGCTCTGCTGGAGAAGGAGGAACAATCTCCTCCTGTGCCAATCAAATCTGATTTCATGGTACACACACACACACAAATGATAAAAATAAAATTTTTTGTAAGAAAGCACTTTCATTAAAAAACAAATTTTTACAATCTAGAAAACCTTGTGGGCAGTTCTACTCTGTCCTGTGAGTTCACTAAGGATACAAAGCTGCCTGGCCGGGAAAAAGCCTGGCCAGCCACACCCATAAACGTCGCAGCCGTGACGACGGTATGGCGCTGTGCTGGAACCCAGGACGGCGCCCTGTCCTCTGAGGGGCAGCTGTTGGGCTCCATCAGCAGTCACTAGGCGACCGGGGCTCCGTGCCCCTTGTCGACCGCCCTCCCCAGGAACAGAACCCAGAGCCCTTTCACGTAAAGCTGGCATATCTCGCACCGCACTCTCTGGGTTTAGGACCCAAGAAAGCAGGACCCCTGGGTACTCTCATTTTACAGATGTGGACACCAAAGCTGCCACTCCACAAACTGTAGCATCAAGCTTTCGACTAAAGGGGGTCGGGATTGAAGAAACCCGAGACCAGATGTGAGCTGGAATCTTGCCTCTACCACCGACGCGCTGTGTGATGTGGGAGAAGGGGCGTTCCTCTCCAAGGCTTTGGGTTCCAGTCTGTACAATGGGCTGTTCCGCCCTGGGTACTGGTGAGTGCCTGAGGAGCTGATGCTGTCCGCCAGTGCTGTTCCATCAGCAGACCTGCCCACCCCTGGGGCCACGCAATCAGGCACCACAAGGACCTGAACAAAAGGCACGGGCAGGACACCACTGGCACAGTCGTCAGCTGTGGCCCGTGCTGGGGAGGGGACTCTCCAGGGTGGCTTCCTGGTCAGGCACAAAGCCAGGTCACAGGGGAGCTCTGGTGGCCTAGTGGCAAGAAGCTGCAACTACAATCCCAGAGGTGCACGGTTCGAATCCACCAGATGCTCTGCCGGGGAAGGAGGGGCAATCTCCCCCTGTACCAGTCAGATCTGATTTGACGGTACACGCACACAAAAATAATAATAAAAAAAAAAAACAAAGCCAGGTCACAAGAAGGCCGTACCTCCTGGCCCTGGGATTAGCGAGCCCTTCCTGTGTACCAGTCCCAGGCATGACTGGCAGAACTGAGCCCAGGGTCAGAGCCGAAAGGTTTTCAGGGGAGCCACAGTGACACAGGAGACCAGGCCCAGGCGGAGGGGTGTGTGCAGCAAGGGGGCTTTGGGCATCTCTGTGCCCTCCTCAGCAGGGCTCCTGGGAGGCTCTGCCGGAAGGAGCCTGCACTGGGCACCCCAGAGGTAAGAGTCAAAGTGGCGAGTTGCCAGGATCCTCAAGGCCTGACAGCTAGGTAAGACACAAGGACAATCACTGTGGTGTCCCGGCACCTGCCTCCAATCCCACCAGCAATGCAGGGAGGTGGCCACCTGCTCACCCGTTTGAGGACACAGTGGAGAGGCGGTGGGTCCCAGGGACGCATGTGTGTCCTCCAGTGAGGCCTGGCCTGGTGTTCCCCAGTTCAGGTACAGCTACCCCCAGGGACCCTCGAGCTGCTGCACAGGATAATGAGGACCTGGGAAGTGCCCGTGGTCCCTCACTGCCTCTGCACTGGAGGCCTCCCTGTGACCCCAGGACTTGCCAGCTCGCTTACACACTCCCGGGCACCTTTCTTGATGTGTGTGCTATGGTGAGGCTTGCAGACTTTTTATTAACTGAGGTTAAAGTCACATAACATAAAATCGACTCTTCTAACCCTGAGTAAACAATTCAGTGGCTTTTACATATTTACTCATTTACAATGTCATGTGACCACTTTAAAAAAAAAAAAATCACACCCCACTACCATCAAGTTGATGACAACCAAGCGACCGTGGAGAACAGGAGGGCTGGCCATGGGGGCTCCAGATGTCCACAGAAGCAGACCGCCTCTGCTCCCGAGTCACCACTCCAGTCACTGACCTCCTCGTAATCCTATCACTAACTCCAACATTTCCATTACCCAAAACCAGAAAAGAGGAAAACCCAAAAACTCTTAGTGGAGGGGATGCTCTTTCAACCGTGAATCAGATAAAGGCAGACTGGTTAGCTCACATCAGCCCTGGGATGTTATAGGTTACTAACAAATACAAGTTCAAGTCAAAATGGGCTGGTTCACAATCCATAACCCCAGAGGAACAGGCAGCAGTAATGTGACTTCCTTCTCTGAAGCTGCTTGGGACCCCTGCTCCCCAATCCCAGCACCTGCC